AATATGTTTTTAAACTAACTATTGAAACAAACACTACTTGTCCTTCTTATCTTAAATAGTATTTGTGCTTTTCATTGTTAAACTTGAACTTGAAGATAAGTGTTTAAAGTTAATCTTGACATTTCTTATAAGGAACAATTTTGAAAATATTCTATTATCAATTGTTTAACATTTACCTATGAAAATTTAAGTTAGTTATTTTGATGAAGTTACAAAAAGATGATTTTTTTTAGGTGGGTGTGTAAGTCAAATGGTAAAACTTTAAAAACTATCAAAGCTGTAAAGCCCTTTTTGGAATACCCTGTATAGTTCAAACACGGGTAACAAACAAATACAATATTTGTCTTACAACCAAAACGTCAAAATCATTCAACAGCATCAGTTACAGCCCATGACCACACAGCAACACCAAGCCTTAACCGGTAACTCAATTAACAGCCCCACACGAGTTACATCGAGTTACGATCAGCTGTAAATTGTAAACTCTGTTAATTTACATGGTTGGTAACATGTTACAGATAAGATATGATAAGAATCACCTGAGGGACGGTGATCAGATACCTGACATTGAGCATGTGTGATCAGCTGTATGTGGATCAGAACTCACCTACACACGCATACGCTCACACATACACACACTCTCTCTCTCCCACACGACCTTGACTGCACATTACTCACTCATTGGGCTCACAAGTATTGTTGGTTAAACACTGATAAACGATCCAGGGTGCTGTAATGTTAGTTCAAGACTTCTTTGTTATATGGATTTTGGTTGACTGTCATGGCATTGAATGAATATAAACAAAAGAAGTTTGAGAATAAAAGTTTAGCCTACATTTTTGGACGTACGACATTTGGATGTTCTAGAAACTAAAACCAAAAATCCCTAAAACAGTTCAGACAACATGTATAAGAAGTGTATTCAACAAGTTGATTTTCACTACATTGATGTAGTTGGAATAAAAATTGTACTTACTGTAATTTAATTTTTACAGATAACTAGACAGTTTAAATATCACATAACTTTTGGTGTTGTTTAGAATGACACAATTAATTAGAAAATACTTAGATCAGAACTATAATCTATGTAAAATTGTTGATATTAAAAATCAAAGTGGTGAATATCTGAAATATTATGTTGTGTTCCAAGGTGTAATGTAGCTAGAACCATTGACTTTGGATGCTGAATAATGGTGTATCCTATAGTGGTTTATGAGTGGTGAATCTCACAACTTCTTGGCTTACAATTAAAACTGTACGGCCACCTCTACTGACAATGTTGAGAAAGAATAGTTGTAGATCTACTTAAGTTCAAAATAAATTGATCTAGCTTTCCAGAAATTCTAGACAAATATTTATTTATTTGTTTTTCCTTTTCCATTAATTAGCCAGTTATCTACTCTCTACAGTTATAATTACAATAATAATCTATCCTCAGGATAATTTTATTAGCGAACTTCCCATATAGGGAATAAGCTATTACCGTAGTACTCGTGGTAAGACCTGGACCCGGGACCGATTTTTTTTTTCGTTTTGAGGTCCCTAGAGGCCAAAAACACTATCCGTTCAAATTCATATATATATATGTGTCCGTTAGCGCGATAACTCGAGCAAAAATGATCCGATTTTGATGAAATTTGGTACAAACGTGTAAACCTACGTTTATTCGAACGAGTTTGCGAACCAGCATGATCGGACCATGGGAACAGGGGTTTATGGGGGCTTTTATGGGGTAAAAATTAGTTTTTCCCATTTTTGACCCAAAAAACATAAAATTTTGAAATTTCTTTCCAAACTATTTTGTAGAGCTTAAAAAAACAAATAATTTACTATATCGAAGCGTTATAATGCGCCTAATGGTTACGGAGAAAATTCCAAAAAAATTTTAATTTAAAATTCCCATGTTATTCTTATGGAGAATAAGTAAACCGTTGTAGTGTGCTTGTTTATTAACATATTTTGCCCAAATTTGGAAAATGTTTTTATTTCTTACTAACTATTAACATTTTACATAAAAAAAACACTTTTACCCTCCCTGTTGCAGCAAACCTAAGTATGTGTTAAACTGATTCTATTTAAATAGGGAATAAATGTGATATTTTTAAGGAGACATTTTAGTCTAAATCCAATCAGGCAAATGGAAATTCGCTTAGTCTGCAGGTTTGCTGCGGCGGGGGTATTTTGTATATCTTACTCCTTTACAAATTAGCGTAAGCCTATATCTGTTTAATTACCTAGGCCAATTCCAAGAGAATGAAAACTAAAAATGCTCCTCTGTTATTGCACAAAGTAATAAGAAGTACAGAGTCAAAAAATGCAATTACATGTTGAAAATAATGTCAAAACTCAACGTTCGTGTTTAAGTCAATTCATGTTCCCAATACATCGAAGCAAAACAACAGCATCATATAGTTTCAAAATTGACAAAGAATGTCCCGTGAGCAGTTGAATCCAAATGTAGCATAAAAACTATATTGAAGTAGTGTTGAAGGAAATGAATTATAAAAATCCCTCCACCGCAGCAAACATGCAGACTAAGCAAATTTCCATTTGCCTGATTGTATTCTCAAAAAAATATTTCTATGTTCCTTTGTTTATTTAAACATACAACTTATAAGAGTATTGTATTTATGTGGTGCTTGGTAAACTAATCATTTTTGTGTTTTGACAATTAAAATAGAAAGCTATAGTATATCAAATCATCAACATTTTACCTTGAGTTTTCTGATGCAGGAAAACAGGAAAAAGCACATGGTTTATCCGCGGCGCGTCCGAGGACGAATATGTGGGAGATTGGCAGAGCTCAGAGGAGATAAATAAATCAGTTGGAGGCATGTTATTAACTACAGATACCGACCAATCAAGCTCCTTGAGTCTAACTTGTACTCGACTGCTCAACAATAAGTGCTACGACTATCAAGTCATCCACAGTATGGTGTTTCTAAATAGTGGTCAAATGATGATGAGGAAATTCATGACTGTGCAGCAAAAAAAATTACAAACAGACCATTTAACCTTGAGAAACTGGCTTTACCCGTGTTTTATGGTTGAACATGGACCTGAAATTACACGTCCTTTAAAGCGGTGGCGTTTGTAAATAAATGAATCTGATGTTAAAGAAATGCAGGACTGTTCAATATATTTTTTAAAATCCATTTTAATCTCTATAATTTTTTTCCCATTAGTACTTTTACATTAAAGGAATATGATATTTAAATTATAAAATAGGAAGTCCTTTATGGCTACCACAAAACTCGTTAATATTACAAAAAAATGGCTAAAGAATTTCAAATTTTTATCCTCCATAAACTACGGCATGCTCTTAAAACAATAATAATTTTCCAACTAACAAAATCAAATATTTTATTTGTTTGATTCAACTATGTGACAGTTTTAGTATTTCCTCTATAAGTTTAACTGATACCCTTGAAGATATGTTGTTAGATGTAACAAAAGACTGATAACAATGTATTTTTACAATTCACTTGAGAGGTTTGTCATCCAGGTGTAATTGTAGCAAGATAAGTTGTCAGATTAGTTCTAGTATAGCTTAGGCCGGCAGAGACAACAATTTGGGTTTGTCCCATAAAATATTGGTTTTACTTAGTTGGAAAAATTCAATCAACTTTAAATATGTGAATTAATTGTGAATTTAAACTATATTTTTAACATACAGATGTGTGGGTTGCAATTTGTATCCGTTCAGTTTTTGCTGGATCAGTTTTGGGTTATTTTTGGTTTTAAATAACATTACCTACCCACTTATATTTGAGTCATTGATCATGTTTATTTATTTATGGTTTATTGTTAAGTGATGGTAGGAATATGTTGTCACAGGTATTCTTGGAGGTAAACATTTTATTTTTTTTATTCTCTAATAATTTAAGGAAAATGTATAATAATCCTTTACACATCAATTAAAATTATAAATAATTCATGAACAAACACTTATATATGTCCCAATGTTCTAACATAGTCTCGCACAGTAGCCATTAGGAAAGCAATATTTAGATATGCCTATATATTACAAATTTTGTGTGATGTACATTTATTATGTCTCTATAAGTCACGATCCCAGGACTATCGTGCTCATCTACCTTGATCATGAAGACACATTGCTTGCATTGTCTACTGTGATTGCAGCAAAATCTTGAACATCGCCCATGATGGCAAAAACATTATCAACAATGTATACAATCCATCGAACGCAGCTAAAGTGAGAGAATTTCCCATAATCGCGGATACATCATCATCATCTCTTAAGATCGCGGAAAAATTATCGCTCAGCAACCAAGAAAATCAAAAGGATATTTCCCATCAATTCTATGTTTTAGTTTTTGCTAAAAACCAGTATTCCTAGTAACTAAACATTTTGTAGACTAATTAGTGTTTAAAATCTTCAGATTACTCTTAAAATTCCAATGTATATATTCCCGATATAAAAACAGCATAGCCTGGTAAGTTTGTCAAACAAAAGTTAACTCAAAATAAAAGTTAAATTTTATTACAATTTTAATAATAATATGTTTATGTTTCGTTTCATTTAATACAAACTTGATACAAATATACATTTTTTATGAAAAAAATTGTATAATGATTTGACACTTGCAAGACGAAGGGTGTAAGTACATATTATGATGAGCCTATGTATTTTACTCCCTTCGTCTTGCGAGCCACAAATTTAAAAAGTAATTGCACGAAATAGAAATCATCCTAGATACACTTTAAGAAGATTGGTGGTAACACTGTGATATGTTTTGAGGATTTTTATATTTGTTTGTTTCTAGACTGACAATTAATTTTTGATCGTTACCATTAGAAAATTTTATCTAATCTTTAATTGATTAGAAATGGTCTTCACGAAAATACTGAAAGGCAAATCCAATAAAACAGTGATGGATTTAAACACCAAAGCTTCGTCATGGCATACTAGCATTATAAGAAAATACCGACAGAATTTATTTTTTTCTTGAAAATATAATATTTTATAATTATCATACCTCAAAAAATGAATCCGAGGTTAGAGTTGAGGGCAGTTTTCCCCCGACCACAGCCATGGAGGAAGCGTAGTCTTCATCATCGGTGGACAGGCCGAGCTCTTCCCCATAACAGACGTGCACCCAGTGCCACAACTCCGGAACAGGCATCGGCTGTCAAACAAGAGTAGATCAGGCATTGTTCAGATATCTTACAAAGACTTAGGCCTAGTTTATAACTATTCCAAAGTAAAGTTTATTTCTTCTTAAGAAGCATCATTGGCAAAGAGTAAAATCAGAGAGACCAGTGGCCTGTTCAAGGGGGGGGGGGGCTACAGGGACTAAAGGCCATTAAATGGACCCTGGAAAAATAAATGTAAACATACATTTTGTCTTAAAACCCACCTCCTTTCATGGGAAACACTAAACCACCCAATATCCCCTGCCCTTGACAAGATCATAGACCCACCACCGATAGAGACAGATGAAAGAATGTTATTATATAACTAAAGTTTTTGTAAAATGTCAAGAGGACTAGGCTAATGGTTGTTTTTGTTAGTAAATAGTTAAGTTCAGTTATAGCGATAGCACATGTAAACCAAACTAACCTTGAGAATTGACATCTGAATTAAATATAAAAATTAATATAATTTATAGATATAATTTATTCAGTCAACCAGTTCTATTTGAACTAACTACTTTGAGAAGTTCACTAAAAGACTAAATAATATGGGATAACTTCTTTTTACATTCTGAGGTAGGTAGATAGGTATACGATAAGTCTTATCTTATAATCTCGTGCCATATATGAACTCTTGTTTGTATGCATATTTAGTTGGCATACAACAACATTAGATGTTACAGTATTTTAGTGGTACTCTAAGAATTTGAAGTTTAAAAATAAGAGGTGACAGTGATTATTTACTTTTTCACTTTGTTGGTCTTAAAATTGTAAGAATAATTATACTTTTGATAAAGCTAAACTGTGTGTTTCAAATTATTTTAAGATTAACAGATGAGAGAAAACATACCTGATCCATAAGTGCATGCTGCCATATTCTGAAAAGCATAAGATAGGTCTTGTCTCGAGTGGCGAAGGAGGCAAAGAAATACCGTTCCGACTCTGTCTGGACTAATATTGCATTCGGTATCACCAGAGCTGTCTTTTCTTTTGTTAGAGAAGTAATATCTCTCCATCTGACAGTTATCTAAAATTAAAAAAATAAGTCAAATTTGAATAATTTAACTATGATAGTGTAGGCCCTAATCCCTTTTCAAAACTCTCTAATAGTCTACAATTTTTTTTCCTGGAAATAATAAATCCACAGTACACATTGGAGTCTGAAACTAATACAAATCAACAAATGCAACAAAATAACTAATCTATGCACAATTTACTCTTGAAAGTCAATCGGAAACCTATGTGGAGGCGCACACACGAGAGCTAACTTCTCGCTGAGACGGGACTTGGTAAAGAACTTGGAGGCTACCTCCAGTGTCATTTGAACATGACAAAAACTAAAAATAAAGTCATAGGGGTATAATAATAGTGTCTTATAATTCTACAAGGAAGATGGTTGGTACTCGGTCCCTCACAGAGCTAGATACAGAAAAATACTTTCTGTATATAAAATAAAAACAAATCTCGAGGTTACCTCCATCACACGGCCTCTGAAGGGTTAGAATCTACTTATCAAGTAAAAGTGGTAGATTATAGTTTAGTCCCTACACTGTAAATAAAATTAAATACAGTAGGCCTTAACTTCTTTTTGCTTAAATCAAATGAGCTAAATATTCAACTAGAAAAAAATCACTAATGATCATTATGTGGGGTGTTAACTTAAAGTTAATATCATAAAATAAAAGTTAATTAGGCCTACCTGGGTTTCCCAACGAAAAATGTTGGCATAAAAGCATAAGAAGTTCTGGGAAGCGTAGAGCCGTCCATGGATTAATATATCTCTCTGAACAGCACAGGAATAGTCTGAAAAAAAAATTACTATTACAAAAATAATTACCACAACTCAACTTAAGTTACTTGAGGCTTTTATCAATAATTACAAAATGAGGGTGCTTTCTGTCTATGTATCTGATTATTCGGGTAGAACACAAAAAGCAAAAAGCCGGGTTGGGATGGAATTAGAATGGTACCTAAAGGTGGATCATGGATCCAGCCAACACAAAGGACTACTTACTTAAATCATTTTTTACTAAGCCCCCCAAAGGTGTTATGTAGGTTGAGCTGGAGAGTATATATTGGTCTTCATTGAAGAGGCCTCCTTCACCTTCAGAAGCAAAATTCATGACCACTACATAAGAAGCAGATATAATCTGGACATTCCGAGGTGCAGGCTGGTAACAACTTCAAAGCATTGACAATGTTCAACAGACTTCCAAGTGATGATAGGCTAGGGCCCTACTTTAAAAGAACCACTTTCAGTGTGTTTTAGTGTGGTGGCTAAAAGACGGTGGTTTTCTATTCAATTGATGAGTTTTTTTCCGATTCACTCACCTCACTGCTCGCCATTAGTGCCTTGTAAATATTATATGTTTAAATGTTAAAATGTTTCATATTCAATGTTTTATGTAATGAAGTGTGGTTTAATTTTTTTAACAATACAGTTTCTTCAGGTAAAAGTTCTCGACGGAAGGTAAAAGATATTGTGACAAAAAAACTTGCACCAGTTTTTCAGATGGTCAATATTACCCCTGATTGCATTTTGAGCAAATTAAAATCTGCTACACAGCTGATTATGGTAAACAAGAGATTATTTACCAAATTGATATAATTCAGTTTTGTTTAGCCATCAAAGGTGGATGTGTAACTAATGTTTTCTACAGCAGATTTAAAGAACCACAAATTTCTATTATACTTCCTCACTATGATATAAACCAAAGCAACTAGTAGGCTATAGGCCTGAACATTGAAAATGTGACTATGGTATTGTCACTCCTTATATATTTAACCTTAGTCCATTTATAGGCCTTCATATTGCTTTAAGATGCAAGTAAGTAGACCTTGTTAGACAGCAAAGTAAAGTCGCTAAAAGATTCCTGATCGTAAAACAGTTAGTAACAAAAGGAAGAAATTATCAAACGACACAAACTAAAAGTGATTTATTAGGCCTAATTTCAGAATAGTGTGGGTGTGTTGCAAGCCTTGCGGTTAGCGTTTCAGACTTGGGTGAGGGAGGAGTTCAATTCAACACACACACAAATTTGAGGGTAAGGTCGCGCTTTCCATTAAAAACGCCTGAGTTCTATTCATACAAAATGCCATTGGCATAGACACCTACTAAAAACAGATTAGGCCTAGGCCTACTAACTTACCATTTAAGGCCAAGCCAAGCCCGAAATATTAAAGCTACAAAGTAGGATAGTAATTTTACCTACCAACAATTAGTCTTTCATCAGAAGGAAGTTCTTTAAAAATTCTTTTGAAATCCTCACATTTGGACTTATAAGTGGGGTACAAAGCACTGTACCAAGGTGCCTTCTTTTTCTTTTTCTCTCTGTGTCTCTTTTTCAATGGCGCTCTTTGACCTGAGGTTTCATACAGGGAATCTGGAGAACTGTTTTCCTGTAAATTATAACAAAATTAGTAAAAAACATACTCTTGAGTTTTAAAAAATTAGGCTATGAGTTTTGAAGTTCTTTCAAAAACTAGATTTAAATTTCCAGAAAGGACGTGTATTTTACGTAAAACTTAATTCAAGGATGTTCCAATGCTAAAAGCCTAGGGTTTCTGGTAGTTTAAATCTTTAGTACAGTAGTATAGAACTTAAGAATATTAGAAAGTTACCCTTAAAAACAGATTTTTTTAAGGACTCAATGATAGCAGACAATCTACCATTTACTGTATATTCTGGATTACAAAAAGCTAAGAAAATAGTTTGGATCTTTCATTGAAAATAGATTTGAGTTTTTTATTCATTGATCATTAGTCTGAGAGATATGTGTCGAAACCTATCAACAGCATGCTACCAGGAATATTTATCAAATGTTGTGAACAACATCTCCAATCCCCGGGTCTTTTGGGGTTTTATCAATGCTAAGAAGTCACCGGCCATTCCCCAGCTTATTCACCTAAACGGCAGACAGGCAAGAGGTGCTGAGGACAAATGCAATCTCTTCTCATCTTATTTCAGCTCTGTATTCTCCCCAGCATCTACGATAGTACCCGACTTTACATTTCCTGTCTTCGACTGTCTTGGTTCCATCAGAGTGACTGAAAACGACGTAAAGCAAAAACTCCAAAATCTTGATGTTAACAAAGGAGCTGGACTTGATAACATCCCTCCATCTGTCCTCCATCACTGTTCTGACTTACTTCACAGACCTCTTCAGATGCTCTTTAATGAATCCCTTGCAAAAGGAGTTTTTCCATATGCCCTAAAGAGTGGTTATATTATACCAATCCCCAAAAAAGGAGACCCAAGTGATGTAAAAAATTACCGCCCGATTACTATCCTGTCCGCTGTTGGAAAAATATATGAAAGCATTGTGGCTGATAGACTCAAATACCATTTTTCAAGAATTATTCACCCTGCTCAGCATGGCTTCGTACCTGGGAAATCAACAGTATCCAACTTGCTACTGTTTCAAGAATCTGTACTCTCTGCCTTCCGCAACAACAACCAGGTTGATACGATCTACATAGACATGGCCAAAGCATTTGACAAAGTTGATCAAAACATCTTGGTGTCCAAATTAAGAGGGCATGGAGTTACGGATCCCCTGCTTTCCTGGATTACTGACTACTTGTCCAATCGCTCTCTGGTTGTCAAAATTGGGTCTGTGAAATCTGGAGAGTTTACTCAATCTTCTGGCGTCCCTCAGGGCTCCATATTAGGCCCATGGCTATTTAACATTTTCATCAATGATCTGGTAGACGCTGTGGAAACCAATGCTCTATTGTTTGCCGACGATCTTAAAGTATTTGCCGAGATTTCCTCAGTAGAAGACTGCCGCATGATGCAAAAAAGCCTGGACGGAATCAGTCGATGGTGCATCAGTAACAACATGCAGATTAACCCTGAAAAGTGTTCAAGTATGTCCTTTCATCGCAGCAAGAACCCCCTCTTGACATCTTACTCAATCTCAGATGTTGATATCCAAAGAGTTACCGTTATAAAGGATCTGGGTGTTTTCTTCCGTCACGACATGGGCTTCTCAGACCACGTTGATGGGATTTGTAAACAGGGCAACAAAATGTTGGGCTTCATCTCAAGATCTACCCGTGGGATTAACAACCCTGATGCTCTAAGAACGCTGTACTGCGCTATGGTGAGACAGATTGTGGAGTACGCCAGCCCCGTGTGGTCACCCTATGCTATTGGTGAAAAAGACAGGCTGGAAGCATTGCAGAGACGTTTCATCCGCTTAGTGGGAGTTCGCAATGGCTTTAACTACGCGGACGTCCCTGTCGTTTCTCTCTCTTCTGAACTGCAGCTTGTATCTCTTGCGGTGCGCCGAGACTTGGCCGACTTCATGCTCCTACTGAAAATAATCAGAGGTCTTCTATTTTGTCCGGATCTCCTGTCAAAAATTGACTTCAAAGTACCGTCTGGCACTAGGACTAGGGAACTCTTCGTCCGAAGACACTACAACACGTCTTTCGACTTCCACAGCCCACTAGCTCGTCTTGCCAGGCTTGGAAACCGTGTTGCTCCGGACTGTGACGTGTTCTGTGACACAATTTCTCATCTCAGAAGATGTGCTACGGAAATCTTCACTCCTTGAACCTGTACGAGCGTAAACTAGGCCTACTTCCAGACACAGATTTTCACCAGTATTTGTTCATCTTGTGATGTAGGCCCCATGTAAAATTTGTAAAACTGATTATTATGTTTGTTCCTGCATTTTTGTCAATGTAAAATTATTTATTGTAAAACAATTATTGCAACGAATTTGTCAATTTGTATGTATTGTAAAATAACTTAAACTAATACTATTCCTTATCCACTCAAAATAATTTTATTTTTTTATTTTAAGATATCAGTTTAATATACAGTTTACCTACAAATCTAGAATTTGAAAATCTATGAACATTCCATATTTTTGACATGCCCCAAAAGATTTATATTTTTGCTCAAAAATTAGAGTTTGGAATCCAAGTGATAACTTAGTCAGCCTCTGCTATAAAGACTACCCTTAACAATGTAAAAAATAAACAAGCAGATGGCTTACCTGTTCCTTTAAGGAACTTGACTTGTACTGTATAGGACAAAGTTCAAGTTATTACTCACGTGATCAAACTTTTCTCTTGAGGCTAAGCTAGCGGCCTCTGTGGATCTTGAACATCAGGACTCTAAGGCTGAATCTGGTTTCAAGGCAGGAGAGTTCGACCTGAAAAATTATACGAATAATAATGTAAGTTAGACCCAAAAATATGCAAGGACTTTAAGTGGGCGAAATGGATTGTGAGAGTAGCTAGCTATTTTATACAGATTAAACAGCTTTAACTTATTTGATGGACAACTAAGTTAATATAATATTTATATATTAGGCCTACACAACATTTAGCCTAGTAATAGGCCTAAGTACTTAACTTAAGTGTTGAGGGCTAAATTAAAATATCTCATTAAAAACCATAATTTGGAATTGCTGGATGCTATGGGAACAATGGCCACTCGCAATTTCCTAAATATAAGTATTTTCAACAGTTTTTTTTATTCGTGGGTATTTTCAGGGCCGATTTACCGAATAGGCACGGTAGGCACATGCCTAGGGCGCGAGGCAATTGGCTTTTTTTGGGGACAAAACTGGAACAATTTGGAAAATAAAAAAAGTGGTGGTTGTAATTGCATGGGATCGCGGCAAACTTCTGATGATCCCTCGCGGCCGTGATACCTTGAGACCTAGCTTACAGTACCGTTAATAACTTAGCTAAGTTAACTTATTTCCTAATAACTTATGGGGAATTAGGTTCGCTAAATAAGGGAAAATCCTCATTAGGCCTAGTTAAACATTATGTAGGCCTAACTTAGATAGGCGAAACCTAAATCAATTAAGAATCAACCACTACCTATAAAAACAAGAAAAAAAATTTACCTTTGTTCTTCTAATTGTGAGATGATGTGGGTTGAATCTTTTGAACCTTCTAGTTCGCTAGCAGGTATGGGCCTACTCATCGTTTCTATAGTTAATACAAAAAATAACAATTATTATAATGCAGACAAAAAGTAATACAACCATCATTTAATGTCTCACCAAAATAGTTTTGTTTATAAATAAGTTAGGCTATTTTTATATGTTGATAACATACCGTAATACACAGTATCATTAATATATGGACTTAAAAATCACTGAAATAAAAAAAAAACAATCACTAGGGCTAACAACAACAGGGAACAGGATTAACGAACTTAACATAATTTATAGCCTATCTAACTTAGTATACCTTTAAGTTAACAAATATTGTTGTAAAACACTTAACTTAGGGATAACATATTATACAGACTTGAAGTTAGCCATAAAATTATTTATTGAAAATCTGGAGGCTATGATAAGTTACCATCACTTTCAATTCTTAAGAGTGTAAACTGAGGGGGGCTGGGGGTAACTAACACAAATACTGCAAATTGCTACGACATCTTGCCCATATTATTATAAACAATTGACTTTATGTTTATCTGTGCACAAATTAGTCTAACAAGTTGTGTTTTACTGTGATTACCTAAAAGCATACAATGTCTTCAATTTATAGAAACGCATTGGTAAAACACAGAGGATACGCGTCCGGTAACCAGACGTGGATTAGGCGTCCGGTAACCAGACGTGGATTAGGCGTCCGGTAGGGGGTCCCGGAACGCCATTACCACAATGATACGATGTTCAGCCATCAGTGTTCGTGGTGTAGTGGATAGCCTAGAGTGCTCGACTGATATGCGAGAGGTCCCCGGTTCGAAACTCATCGGTAACGTTAACTTTTTGTCACAGATTTTGCTTTGAATGTAATTTCTTCTTAACTGTACATCTTTTGTTAGAATTTTTGGCATTTATAATTTTATGTTATGAAGAGAATTGAACCTTCATTTGATTTTTTTCACTATCAGCAAGTTTGGTTGGTTAGGTTAGGTTATGACAGTAACTGCCGGACGCCTAATCCACGTCCGGTTACCGGACGCGTATCCTCTGCGTTGATAAAAACATACAAGAGTTTGACAAGTCCTATTGCATTGTTTTGGTTGATGTAATAAAGAATTTTGATTTTGATAAGTTACGACTAAAACTATGTATATAATTTACACATTCTTTTTACAGTACAGTACTTTGAGTTGCGATTTGTGAAAATCAATTTTTCACTTATTGTTAATTAACTTAAATGGGATAGGTAACTCAATTAGGCTAATAGGTAGGCCTACTCAGTTTAATTTATTTAAGGAAAATGAATTACCTATTATTGAACCCTCAGCTTCAAAGAGTAAGATAATATATTTGATCCTTTTTTAGACCGTAGACTTACGCCAATAATACAATAATTGATTAAGAAACTTTTTTACAAAATTAAGTGTAGGAAGTTTGATAGAATCACAAGAAAACACAAACAATACAATTTAGTATTTATTTATTTAATTTTCATGTCGTCTGCTCGCAGCTTAGCAGAAAAATCAAAGAATACAGGCTGGACAACTAAGATAATTAAGGACAATAGACAGCTCAACGATATCAGTACTATATACAATACTTACTTACTTGGATACTTGAAGTCTATGTCGTTGACCAATGATATCGGTATGACTGCGTCATATTTACTTAATACTAAGAAAACTATTTACACACTACTATTTACACTGTGGCAATGGCTAAAAAGTGGCTCTTGCCTAGTTATTCAAGGCTGTAAAGAGGCCTATTAACCAGCCTGTCACTTAGGGCCGTCTTAAAATCATCTAGGTCCAGGTCGCATACATGCACCGGCAAGGAATTAAAAAACCTTATCGCAGACCGAGGTTAGCTTATGTACACCATCTTCAATGAGCGGGTTAAGGCGGCATCTCGGCAAATCAGTGTCACAAGCTTGGCGGGTATGGTGACTATGTATATTGTCTCTGACAACAAAATGGTAGATGTTAACCTTCAGCAGGATCAAGTTGTTGAGGACATACTGGCTATAAACCACAGTCTAATATAAATTATTTATTGTTAGACTGTGCTATAAACAGTCAACACACCCAGCTCCAGGAAGATGGGACGACAGTGTGCTTTGTAGCCAGAAGATTTATTATTTATTGTATTGTTGACGTAGCCTATTGTCCTGTATATGAACTGAATGGCCAAATAAATCATTTGAATCATTTGAATCATTTGAATCATTTGAAGATGTTATTATCCTCAGCGCCTTCTTCTGTAGTAGAAGTAATTCCTGTGTCAATGGAGAATGGCCCCACAGAACCAGGCCATACGTGAGGTGACTGTGAAACAGCGCGTGATACATACACCGCTAGCAAATGAGGCGGGGTCCATTCCAAAACTCACTTTATCCATTTTTTTCGAAATTGAATTATTAGTATCACTGCATTCAGCAGAAAAAGGCGCATTTATTCGTTATAAAATACCGTCAAAACTTGTGTAATCCTACTAATATTTAATGTTAAAAAGTGTGTGTCATTTCCACAATCTCACTTCGGTCTTCGTGATGTTCCAATCCAGAGAGTTGAAACCCTACTGGACTGAGGCTGTTTTAGGACTTAGTCCTCTTCAGCCAGGGAAAGGATAGCAGCACTAGCAGTAGCAGAGACGTGTAAATAACGAGAGTAGTTTATTTCGGTTGTATCATTCGGAAACTCACATAATCCACCATAGCCAATAGGAGGCTGTATTTTTTGTTTTTGCTAAACCATCTTTATCGTCTTACCCAATCGGTGGCCTGAGTTCGGTGTGACTTTGTTGTCATTTTGGCTCTGTCCTCTGACTATGATTCAATGATTTATTTTAGGCCATTAAGCAAAAGCAATAGGCTAAGTCACTAACAATACAAAGTAAATAATAAATATAGTCCATTTCTTGATTCACAAATTGATAATGTTTGTGTTATTTTCATTTCCTCAAAATTTTAAAGATAAGGATGGATAATGTGAGTTTTGGAATGGACTGCCTCAAATACGGTCTGGTAATGGTGGTCCTAAGCTTCCTTAAAAGGTAGATAACTTGAGAGCTTTACACATACCTTTTCAATATGGTGGTGCTAACTTAGCTTTGAATCCATACAGAACCCAAGCAGCTTCACGCTGTTTTCCTCAAGGCCGATCTTCAAGGCGGAGAGAGTCGTGTAGACAAGCTTTCAGGGAGCTTGGAATTTTGACCCTACCTTCCCTGTATATGTTGGAAACGGCTGTATACTGCCGGTTTCAACATGTGCCTATCCAAGGCACTGCTGTGCACAGCCACGGGACTAGAGCAAGGGAAAGTTTTCGCACTGTCCAACACCGAACAGCTGCATTTGAGAAACTTCCTTCTCAAGTAGGTGTCAGACTCCTCAACTGTCTTCCTGAAAGGCTTAAAAGTCTGGAAAGTTCCCTTCTATTCAAAACGAAACTGAAGCGTGACTTAAAAAATCAGGCATTCTATTCGGTGGATGAGTTCACTGCACACCGTTGGAGTTAAGGGCCACAGTATTATATTCCCCAGGGGTTATGAGTTAATATTTTAAGGTTTTCTTGATAAATGTATAATGTTTTTTAGTTTTCCTCCATTTCTTAAATGTATTGATTTATTTGTTTAAAGTTAAATTTAATTTAAAGTGTAATTTTATAAAATAACCCCTATGTAATTATAAATATTATAATCACACAATGTAAAAATGCTACACAATGTAAAAATTGTAAAGAGCAATAAATGAATAAATGAACATAAAAGGGTCTGAGTCTTCTCCCCGTTGATCTTAAGTTTATTATTCCATTTTGGGATATACTATTATAGTAGGTAGAAGAGAGGTGAGATTAGTTTAACGCATGGCCCCCACATTTAATTGTGGGCCCTGTTACCAGGATCTGGCTCGGGCCCCCCTACCAACCGGGGGGTCGGGGGGGTATGGAATACCCCCCAGCCTAGAGGGGTGGTCCGGGAAAATGTTGAAAATGTCATGTATTTTAGTGAGTTTTTAAGGCAATCTAGGTATTAAATTTGTGAGTGGTAAATGGCACTTTTGCAGCTTTTTTTCAAGGAAGAAAAGAGTTCTTCAATGAGTTTTATAAGACTTAAAATTACAGTAATTCAGCAATTAAAACTATTATATCAATACACAAAAGCTCCATGCCTATTAATATTTTGTCTTTTTTATTTCCCTGTAAAAGGGTTTGGCTATCTTAACTGCTATAATTGTACTTTGTAATATAGAGTAGGAAAAAACGTACGTAAATCGAGTTTAACAGCGTACACCAATGAAATCATATTTAATTCAGTGACAATTTTCATCAAGAATTTTAACAATACTACATTTTTTGGGAGTGGATGCCTGAGCTGCCGAACTTGCGCGAATAGTCACGGAGATAAACGAATGTGCACGAGTAATGCCGAGAATGACCGATGCTGTCGATGCCGATGCTATCCAATCCATGCTTTAGTACAGTATTATACCGAGCGAATTGGGAAGAAAACTTAAGTCAAAACTATTACAATCTTTCATATTTTTAAAACTCCAAAAGTAAAGAATTTTAAAGTTTGTGTCAAATAACCTAGATTGCAGTTATTAATTCAAATATTCCATACATAAAAGTGAAACCGGGACCAAATGTTGATAAAACGGGACAAATAAGCGTCCCGAGAGGATTTGTCGGGACGGACCAGTCCCCATAAAACGGGACGTCTGGTCACCTTAGCTATAGTACATAGTACATGTCAATTATTCAATGCTTTACAAATTTTATTTTAACTTATAACTATAAGGATTCATTCTTGAAACTATCAGTTCAATTATAAAACCAAACTTTGTTTATTATGGGGGGAATGAGGTAGGAGTGGCTAGGCGCCTGGCGGGAGGAAAGGGTAGAGGGAGTTTGTGGAGCCGGCCACTGGGGCCCGAGCTGGCTGTTCTGCTGTTGTATAGTACATACGCACCTACGCACCTATAGTATTTAAATATAAACTACCTTAGAATCTAGAATTAATACATTTTAAATTATTTAACTTTGTTTTTTTGTAAAAAATATATATATATTATTTTTTATCTTCAATTTATGATCTGCTGTAAAGTGATCTTCAATGGGGAAAAAAAGAAAAAAAAGAAAAAAGGAAAAAAAAATGGGTAGGCCCGGGCCCCCAGAGGGCCCGGGCCCTGTGACCAGAGTTGCACCAGCTCCACCCTTGTGGGGGCCATGGTTTAACGATCAGATTAGAGTCATGTTTCTTTCTGACGTTAACATGAGCTGTGGAGGAATCTATCTAGTTGTGCACTATGATATGTAATGTTTTTATGGAGCGTCTAAAGCGCTCATGGGATTCAGAGCTAGGAATTCCTCAAGGTTATTTATTGGTGTTGGGACAGGTTCCATATAGTATCGACTTTGACTTCGATGGCCGAACAACACTTGTAACACGGGGCTCCTTAAGTCCTTAACTTAATTGAAGTTTTCCGTCAAATATTATCATAGATAAAACATAGGAGTATGTTTTATCTATTTATTATACATCACCTAAGATAATGTCAAAGATATCTTATAGTACGACTCTTTATCCAAAGAAAGTAATTATTACTCTTTTGATGTATCATGACATCATTGTTTGCAGTTTGGCGGGAAATATTTTTTCCCTCGATCCATCGTTGTTTGGGTAGTTTTGTTTTTTGAGGTTAGTTTTGTATTGTCATTGTCAAACAATCGTTGGCTTAGTTTGAATTATTGTTCGTTTAATTCTGTTTATTTTATACAGTTTCCAGTTCCCAAATTTTCAAGTAATTTAAAATGAGTTTATGGGTGGATAAATATCGTCCTACGTCATTACAGAAATTAGATTATCACAAAACCCAAGCTGCTCATTTGAAGAACCTAGTAAGTGTTAGGTTATGAATATTCTATTCCAAACACTATTGGCATGGCAAATTGTCACAATTCTCTGCATGAAATTATAATCATTGCTATTTTAGAGAACATGAAATAATTCAAATTATTATGTTGCACATGTTTGACTGGGTGCCGTCTTCGACTCGTATTAGTCTTGTCGAAAATACCTTTAGGTATCAGTTTTTGGGGTGCATGAATTGTGTAAAGGCAGGGACAAAAATGGTGAATTACACCACTTAACTTATTTCCAATCCTTATGAAACACGAGTCTCGGTTTATGGATTATACAAGAATGTTGACAACATATTTTATTTTGGTGAAAGATGATTTTGAGAATCAGACAACTAAGTTAACTTAATTGGAGGATACCAATTGGTGCAGAAGATCTCAAGGCCTCCTCTAGTAACTTATTAACTTTGAGGTGTCTGTAGTGGATTCTCGGCCGTACGCTGTGCTGCGCTGCTCGCTACGCTGAAATATGCAACTAGTATGTCTAAGGGCTACCTCATTTCAATGGATGGTTTTGATTTAAAACGTGCACTGTGCTATGCTACGCTGTTTGTATGTTTCCACGATAACTTAGCATAAACTCTTTTCTAGTGTTATTTTTTTTATTTTTTGTTTTTTTATAAAAGAGGTTGGTGGCCTCTTTTAACCATGCATTTGCCCGTCCACATAGACTAAGCGCCTGTGCGTGGATCGTTGACAGCAAAGCAAGGAGTGAGCCGGTACAGTACAAAGGTGAAATGTACTGATAAAATGTTATCGGCAGTGACCAGGATTCGAACCCACGACATCGCTGCCTTGGGCCCGAAGTCTGCGACGTTCATATTTTTAATCAAAGTACTTGAAAGATGACCATAGGTTAGCTTGGTCAAACAATTTTATTTATATTTTTTATTTATATTTTTATATTTATTTAACAGGTCTCTTTAAGGTACCAAGTTTACTTAAGGGACTGGTATATTTTTAGACCTTATATTGATTTAATTTGCAAGATAACGGTTACACCCTGGTCTTGTTCCCCGACCTGTTGTTAGAAAGCATCATAATTAGCTTAGGTCTAATTGCCGAATGACACCATAACCATTAGGTACATTTAAATTCAAGCATGATATATAATCACTCATTTTCTTAATAAATTAATTGGTAAGTTTATTTTGTTTTTATTTTTGTGTTTTTCTATGTTAAAAGTAGGTAACTTAAAACTTAGGCATACATTTTACGTTTTGGTAAGGGTATTGATTTGTTGGCAATGTTCAGCTAATGAAAAGCCTGTTGATAGGTTCAACAAGGGGATTTCCCTCATCTCCTCTTCTATGGACCAAGCGGAGCAGGGAAACGTACCAGGATAATGGCTCTGTTGAGAGAATTGTATGGTCCAGGAGTTGAGAGGCTGCGGATGGAACATTTGAACTTTCAGACTCCATCAAATAAAAAGTTGGACGTAATGACATTAGCAAGTAACTACCATATTCAAGTCAATCCAAGTGATGCTGGTATTTACGACAGGATAGTGGTCATGGAGCTGATTAAAAATGCAGCACAGACTCATCAGTTGGACTCTACCGGCCAGCGAGAGTTTAAAGGTAAAATAATTTCTATGTCTGACAATTTTTTAAACCTAGTTCCAGTAGCCTCATTGTCGTTCCTTTCATACTAAGGTGAGTGGGTAGCTCAGTCGATAGCGAAATGAAATTCGAGGCCAAGGTATGTTGAGTGTTTGGATCCTAATACCTGAACCTACCACCACTTTTTATCAGTAAAGTTCACCTTTGTGCCATACCAAATCACTCCCTTGCTTTGGTCCGTAATATATTTAGACAGGCAAATGCAAGATTAAAAGAGGCTACAAATACGTAATAGCCTATTGTGGTCCTCTACAGAAATTTCTCTCTGTTCATTTAATTATAGATTATTAACTTTATGTAGGTATTACAAAATTGAATCATGGCCCAAATTACATCATTAATTACACCTAACTTACATTTGGTTAACTTTTTTTATATTTAATAATACAGATATAGTAGGCCTAGCCTATTTTGTTTATAATCACCCTTTGGGATGGGCACCTGAAAATAAGCGTAGAATTGAACCGTGGGCTAGCCTACCTATTTAATAATTTTTTTACATTGCAGTGACCCCTCTTAGTACAAACAGGATCTTTAAACCATAACCCTAAATTTTACTTTTTTATCAGTGATTTTGCTGGACGAGGTTGACAGGTTGACTAAGGATGCACAGCACGCTTTGCGTCGGACGATGGAGAAGTACATAGCTACATGCCGACTAATTCTGTCTGCCAACTCCATCTCTCAGGTCATCCCTGCCATCAGATCTCGATGTCTTGGCATCAGGGTGGCAGCACCAACCCAACAGGAAATCGTCTCAATTCTCCAAGTGAGTACTTTATGTTAACTTAAAATCCACCACAGTGCTTAAAATCGAAAATACATTAATAACACAGAAATACATTCAAGGTAAGATATTACATTTTATGTAGGCTGTTAAAAAGTTTTAAAACAGGTAGCCTATCCAAAGGGTATGTATGAATTAGTTATCGGCCTTCTCTTACAAGATATCCTCGTCTAGACCACAATACTGTTCAATATACTGAGCCGACCCCTCGCACCGCCCCCAGACGAACAACTATTGGAAGCATGCCCCCCATAGTGGCAGTGCGAGTGGCCGCCCCACATCCCTAACAAAAATGAAAGGCCGTGGGTGAATATCAAAAAAACAAACAGTTGTCAACAAAGCCTATAATTTTTCAATGAAATCAACAAAATAACAATCAACAATCAAACAGAGTAACCATCCAAAGAATTTTTCTTTTTTTTTTAATCTCTTAAGGCTTTCTCAAAAAAAAATAAATTAATTAGAATTTTAAGTTTACCCTTCTAAACTTACAACTGGTACCAGTAGCAAAATTAGGCCTAACAATGAAAATAATTTAAAAAAATGGTAACTGTAATATATAAACTTTAAATAAATTAACAATAAATACTTCACAATAACTATAAAATAAATAACGGATCATGACTAGTAAGCTAAACCATAATTATTGGAGCTCCTTTTCAAAATTTCAAATTCAGTCCAAAAATCTCAACAAATTTAAAATATGGTAACTTGCGGAACGTGGTCATTAGTCACATCACACTAATGGTGGGCGGCGGTGATCTATCCGGAAGATGGCGTAGGGCGGCATAGTAGTAGAAAGCAGATGAAGGCTTACTGGTCCCAGGAGCAGGGTAATGAGCAGCCCGAAGCCGGAGAAGGAGTAGTGTCTCCCTGGGCGAACCTCTCCGGAAGCAGCAACCAGTAAGAGCCTCCCATCTGGGACCCTTTGAACAGATTCCAGGCCTAACTAATAAAAGTTCATTTCTTAGGCTTCATATGACTGCAGTGTTAGGCCTATCCAGGTTTTCAAGCAATAAATTCAAAAACAATTTCTGCACCACTCATTCACTGACCAAAACTATTGAAGAAGTAATTTGTTAAATAATATATATATATAAATTTTTTTATATAGGCTTTCCTTTGTAAAACAGTCTTTAAAATTAGAAAAAGTAAAATGACTAGAAATAATTTAATTCAGTTCAATAAAGCTCTAAAACATAACAATAAATAGACTTTTAAATTTTACTAACTTTAACAACACATTCTGACAGTAAAATTTTATAAAGATTTAAGTTGACAATAAAAAATATGAATTTAGGGTCCAGAAGGGTAATATACACTAATAAAACACAAAACAATTACATAAATACTACAATGAATACTTCAAAAAACAGTTTACACAAAATATTAAAAATTCTTTGGCTGGAGGTGCATTTTCAGGTAAAACCGGTAATAACTCCGGTTATTACCAACCAAATTTGCTCAAATTGCTTTTAAAAGCTGTGGCACAGGTGCCCGCAGCTTTTAAAAGACAAACCCATGCCTACCAACTAGCCTGAGGCTAGGTAGGGGGTCAGTTACCTACGGTCACTCAGCAAACAGAAATGCGCTAAACTAAAACTTAAATAACTCGGTCATTTATTATCCAAACTTAATGAAAATTGCAGGGGACAAGTAAGAGCACTAAAACTAACTAATTATGACCGAGCTTGGCCCCCAGGAGGCGCCATTACTTAACTAAAAAAAATTAGGCTGAGTGACATGGCCTACATTACAACTAACAAAAAAACACTTTTACAGGGGACAGAGGGACAAAATTTACATTAAACAACATGTAGGCCACAATAACAAAACAAAATTGAGCACAAACTAGGCCTTAGGCCTAATAATAAATTAACAGGGACACAGAACAAACGGACCATAGCCCGCACAAAAGTGAGTTTCAAAGTGAGTTTTCTTGGGTAATATCTGGCCTAGAGTCTCGGGGAAAGCTTTGAAAACTTGGCAACAACAAAAACTACAAAACTAACCAGGAAAACTTGTGGTCTGACCACACAAGGCTTGGCCAAAGGCCCATTGAAACTCTGAACAATTCCAGGCTCAGAAATGGGTCTAGCGCCTTGAAAAACAAGTAATTGGTAATTAAAAGTAATACCAATGCACAGAAGGTGCTTAATACTTGCTTTTCACTAGCCAAAACTCACTCAAAGTCTGCACAACATGTGGCCGAAGGCCAAAACTAATTCAGAAACTTTCTAACCTAAACAAATCAAAAATAATCAATCAACTTACTCATCTGACGTCTGGCAAAACACTTAAACCATGACTAGAGTCTACGAAGAACGGATGAACAAAATTAACAGTGACATTGAAAGATTAACACTGATATTCATCGAAGATACCCAAGTCTTTACAAATTGACAATCGCCGGCCTTCTGGTGAAAATGTGACAGAAGGCGGACATTGACTCTGGGTTGCAGGATTGCTGCCCGACCCAAACCGACTGAGTTCCGGCGCAAAGCCAGTACTCGTACTATACAAAAAACACTGAGGCGTGACATTGGTGGGACGCTTGGTGGACAAGTCACGGCTCAACCTCCCCCCCCAAAGGAGGACTTCCTCTCCAAAAAAAAAGAAAACAACCTCTCCCAATTCTAGAAGAACTCAACACCTCAGATCAACTCAAGTGTCTGAAGTGGGGAACGCCAAAAGTCTTTCAACTGGAGGGACTACTCACCCCCAGGGTTTGCACTGGCCAGTGCTGGAAAATTTACTAGGGAAAAATCTTCAGCAGCGCACAAGGGACAGAAGAGGTGATCAAGCTCTCTGGCCCAGTGCTCTTCCCACTCAGACACAAGAGTAATGAAAGATGACCTACGGAATTGTTCCCCGGAAAGGCTTCAGATGAGAAATGTGAGCCCTCCGGAAAACTTCTCCAGTCTGCGGATTTCCCAGCCGCACGGAGACAGGAGTCAAGAACTTCAAGATTCGGTGGGGACCTGACCACCGATGAGACAACTTTGCGGCTCTCTTGTCCACGGCCGAACTGACCGGATGAGCCTTGCAGAAAACCAAATCCCCCACCTGGAAAGGATTGTCCAACCGACCTCGATTGTGCTTCCTCCGTACCAATTCCCTAGCTCGGATCAAGTTCCTCCTAGCCGCCTGCCAAGTTGCCTTGACATTGGCTGCACCAGGGGGTGGCAGAAGGTCGCCAATTTTCCACACATTTGCCAAAGGATTATTGGGTGGATAGCCCAACAACAGCTCAAAAGGGACCGCCTTGTGACTCTCATGGTGTGCAGTATTGAAAGCAAATTGAATCCAAGGAAGTTCCTGATCCCAGGTGGTCTGCTTGTCAGCATGAAAAGCTATGAGAGCGGATCGAAGATTTCTGTTGAACCTCTCAGCATGGGAAGGCTGTGGATAGTAGGGAGAAGTGGTCACATGGCGGATACCGTGCCCAAAGCACATTCTTTTGAAAAGGTGAGAAACGAACTGAGTTCCGTTGTCGGAAACAATGGTGGCGGGTATTCCAAAGTGTTGAAACAAATGGGTACGAAGTGCCTGCACGGTGAGCTGTGCAGTGGCGTTCCTCAAAGGGAAAAGCCAACAAAACTTGGAGAAGGCATCCACACAAACAAGTAAGAATTTGTTTCCTGACTTGCTACGTGGGAGAGGCCCTACATAGTCTATGAAAACCTTCTCCAAAGGTCTCTCCGCCACCTCAGATGACAACAACCCATACTTGGTATTCTGAGCAGGCTTGCTTAGCGAGCATGTTTGACAAGAACGCACTCGTGCCGCAATGTCCCTGTCCATACCCTTCCAGATGAACATGTCCCTAACCTTCGCAATGGTCTTGTGAATCCCTAAGTGCCCACCCACAGGGGAAGAGTGAAAGTACGCAAAGACCATGGGTACAAGAAGACTAGGCAGCACAACCTTGGGTTTACCTCGCTGTCGGTCTCGACAACAAAGGGCACCCTGGGACAGAAAGTACGGGGGGTGGGCTCCCCCATTTTGAAGCTCACCAATGATCTTAGCCAGCTCGGGATCTTTTAGCTGATGTGGGATGAACTCAGAGAAGGCAAGGGGAAACTCCAGGAGCACGGCACACCCAGTGTGCTCCTCCTGATCAGAAGGTTGGTCGTCAGGTGAGTGATACATCCTGGATAAAGTGTCAGCAATCACATTCTGCGTGCCTCGAACATGTTGCACTTGGAATTTGAGGGAAGATATTTGGACCACCCAACGACCAATTTTCCCAAGCTGGCGAGGATGTGCAAGGAGCCACGAGAGTGCTTGGTTGTCGGTTTCCAGCAAAAACTCTTTGTGTTCCAAAAAACGTCTGAACTTATTCACTCCAAACACGACAGCCAAACACTCTAACTCATACACAGAAGAGCTTTTCTTTTCGCATGGGTTCAAAGTGCGTGAGGCATACGCAATTGGCTGCCTAACACCATCTACCTCTTGAGACAACACAGCCGCAATAGCGACGGAGGAAGCATCGGTTTGCAAAACAAACTTTCGACTGAAATCTGGCATCGCCAAAACCGGAGGTTGCATGATAGCTTCTTTCAGAAGATCAAAAGACATCTGTTGTGCTTCACCCCAAACAAACTTGGCGCCCTTCTTCCGAAGCTCATTGAGAGGAGCCGCCAACTCAGCCACATTGGGGATGAAGCGCCGGTAGAAACCCACCATGCCGATGAAACGGGCAATGCCTTTGACATCTCGGGGAGGAGGAAACTCCCTGATAGCCTGGGTTCTAGCCGGATCGATACAGACACCTCGTGAAGATACTAGATGACCTAGGAAAGAAATCTCGGCCTGAGCAAAACTAACTTTCTCGGGATTTACGGTAAGGCCAGCCCTAAGCAACCTATTCATGACTTCCTCAAGATGAACCAGATGGTCTTCAAAGCTCTCACTGTACACCAAAAGATCGTCAAGATAGTTGAACACAAATTTGAACTTGACGTCATGAAAGATGG